AGCGACTGCGGTCGAGAATTTCTTACCGGATCACCTTCCACCACTTCCCCTTTCTGGTTCTTTATAACCATCACGACCTGAGCCTGAAAAGTGATGATTAATACTGGTCCCTGCTCCATCATCTTCCCCATAGCCAGCTGCAAGGAAAGAAAATTCCGTTAAAAAACAGACAATTTCTGCAGATTAACGTAAAAGCATCAAGTATTTAACACAACTGCAATAGCTTGACAGGGCTAACAATCCCACCTTCTCCTCGAGCCGAGTCTAGTTATTTTAAAGAGGTTATTCCCGCTTTGTTAATACAGATGCTGTAGACCTTACGGCAAAGCACCTTCCCCCAAAACATTCCCTGTACTTCCCCCAAACTGTTCTGAAAGTTTTCTTCAGTTTTTCCAATCTGAAAATCTGGGAAACACGAACAAGCGCCGTTCCATTATTTCCAAATTAGAAACCAAAAATAAAAGAAATTTTGCTCTTAAAAAAATGTCATTTTCTGAAGAAAATCCATCAACGAAAGGTTTTTTCTCTTGCTTTTAAATGAATCTTCTACATAAAGTTGTACTGAACTAGATAAAAAGAACTAAGTAGCAGAAAGACTTCAAGGTGAGAGCCTTTTGTTTGACAGGATTAGTTTCTCTATTCCAAGATCACTCCATTAAATATTTGAAGAACTTATTAACTGAAATGCAAAGAGGAATGGAAAATTAAGTTTTGTTTCCCAAAAATCGTACTCTTGAAAAATACAACCGTCTTTCTGCCGGTACTGTGGGAATGCAGTATGCTGCAGAATAATATCTTGCTCTTGAGTAACTCTGGAGTCGCTGGCTATGTTACCCCAAAAGGTAACGATACTACCTCAAACTTAAAGTAGCACCATTATACTCATTCTTATATGAGAGATACTGTTTCAAAAAACATTGTGTTTTATCACATAATAAAGAACGCATCATAAACGACAGATACAGGACTGTCTCACAATTCACAAAGGCGCGTATATATACCTATAGTTCTATTTTACTCTCCCCTAAGGAAAACGCAGCACTACCGCAATGCTCCTTCGCGTAACCCGAGGGAATGGGGTCCCGAGCTCGGCGGTAACTCACACCACCCCGGACCACACCGCGTTTCTGCAACCGGGCTGACTCGCTCAGCGACGCGTACCGCCTGCCTCCCAAGGACCAAACCCGCATCTCACCCGCTCTTCGTCACACCAACTTCCACAACCGACATTTCACATGGCACCGATCAATTGACAACAGAAATTAGCACGTGGGTTTCGAGGAGGAGGACCGTTATCGCCGACTAGGCTGCATCCCTTAGAGGCACCAAGAGTTCCATACTGCTGTTGCTTTACTTTTTAGTACTATGATCCCAGAAAAAAACCTCTATAACCAACACAGTATTTATATCACTCCTCCCCCCCCCGGCTTCACAAGTCACATACTTAAAACTACATTTAGGCAGTAAATAAATAGTCCTAAGAAACACCAAGGATCCAAAATTACATTAAATTTAAAGGGAGCAGTTGTCTGGTGAAGTAGAGAGTGCTTAAGCAAGTACCTGGAACATGAGTTCAGATGCTTATGTTTGAAAGACTGATTTTAATTTTAATGCTGCCAACTTTGCAGCATGTGAATTCCCTTAAATCTTCAAAATTTTTTATTTTTTTTTTTCCCTCCAAACTCACTGTAATGTTTTTCTGGATGAGATCACTCCACATACTCCCATAAATCTCCTCCAGGGAAACGCATTTAAGAATTTAAACACACAACACCCTTTATCCCCCTTTCTCGCAATACAGACAGCATAATAAGAGCTGCACTTGTTTACGTTCCATATCAATCGTTTTCCAGCTAAGATGTAATTTTCTTGAGCAATTTCATGCAAAAATACAGGAAATGTCTTTCCAGCCACCACTCGGAATCCGTGGAAAGCTCTATGCTAATTAGCACCTACAGAGGAACAAAGTTATTTAGCATACAATGAAATCCAGTCTCCTAGACACAACACGGAAAATCCTTTGATTTAAGTAAAACTCTTAGAAAAAAGCAATCATGTTTATCACTTCCATAGCCTTAATTTTGTTAGACCACATTATTTATTGCTGAAGACAATCCAGAGAATTGCAGATGCCACAGAACTTTCCCCTGCTCACGTGGCACGTGCTTGCAGCTAATATCCAGAGTCACCGCAGAGGTAGGGGTGGCCTCCTCTGGGCCCCGATGGATGAGAGAAAAGGAGAAGCCCATCACGACCAAAAGGCAAAACAGTCCCAGGAAGAGGACCAGACATGAGCTTTTTGTGTCAGGAGATGCCCTGTAGATGATCTTCTTGCTCCCTGTGAAGATATGTGGTCATTAATCAAGTCGGTTCCTGCTGTTCCTTTTGTAGGGCTACACAGGTCAAACTCAGTCTCTTGCTGTAGGGCATTTCCTCACGTGTTTCTGGAGCTCTCCTGCACCCGCTCCGCGTTTCTAATGATGTGGGTACAAAAAGAGAGAGTCCTGCAAAGGGCAGCACGTACAGAAAAATCACTATCCGTAGTCTGCTTTTCAGCAAACCACCAACCATCAGATTTTCTTCTCTCGGTTTTCCATGACGGTTGCTGAATTCTTCCTGACGTCTTGTAGGGGTGTGACCACAAGTAAGCAACATCTGGCCAGCCAATACACCCAACAACATCTGGAAGAGCTCTCACTTTCTGAACAGCATCCTTTTATCACCAGGTTCCACTTCCATCTCTACCCGAAAGCTTCCGATCCTCCACTTCCTTACCTTGGACCAGATCACCGCTGGCTTTACACCCCTGTTAAATAGTTGTCTTCTCTGTTCCTACAAGAAGGACACCGCAGTTGGCTTTATGGTGATTGTCTGAATGGATCCAGCTTATAATTTTATTGAGGATAATACTGCACAGCTGCAGTATATTGGACAAGTATACCCTAATACTTGGTTCCAACAGAAACACGCGCTGAATGTTGCTGCCTTTGAGGTAGCACCTTTGATGACAAAGGCAAACAGCTGATCTGACTTCACATTATTTCCACACGTGTTTTCAAGCGCTAGTGTACAGCTGCCCTGTTCCCCTCCTCCCCTCGGACGTGTCCTTTGAGGCAGCGCTGGTTATGGCATATGAAAGGTCTGACTACAGGTGGCAATTTCTTTTGACATACCTTTGCCATTGCAGGAAAGAAAGATCTGAAAGAAAACTCAGGGGTCAGTGACAGGTGACACTAACGACTTAATTAAATAGAAGTACTACTGTAGACTTACTGCCAAGCAGAACCGTAACACCTCTACCTCCTCAATAAAGCAGAACGCAGAGAGCGTTAGGACTGTGCAGACATTTGGCCACGGTCCCCACCTACCAACAGCGCTCCTAAGGAGGCAAGGGCTGCGCTCGCAGCCACGACCTCCCCGCTCAACAGCCGTCCAGAACAGCAGTTACGTCTCTCTAACAGCACTCCTGCTCGGCACAACCTCTCTAACAGCACTCCTGCTCGGCACAACCTCGAGTCACAACAGTACTGCGCATCATCATCCGGAGTAAGCACCAGCAAAGCCCTTCTGGACAGCACTGGGTCGGTGCTATTCGCCTTTATTATTAGCCTTCCTCAATCTAGATGCTGGCGATTAAGACCAAGGTGCCCTGGCAGAGAGGAGACAAACCACAACGCCGTAACTTAGGCTTGATCACACAGTAGGGAACCTGTCCCACGAGCTCTCCCTTCCAGCAGCAGTGATCTGCTCCGCTGTTAGCAGAAATGGCAAATACCAGAGTGGCATGAGGCCAAAAAAAAAACAAAACAAAAAAAACCCAGCAGTCAAAGCAAAGAATAAAACCCCTCCTCAGGTCCTGAGTTTCTAATTCATCCCCCCCAAGTGAAATATAGAAAAGGACACTCACATCAATGTTGTCAATGTCAAGAATCCTGGAGTGGAACTGGAGACCCATGGCTTTGGCTTGCTGGATTGGATGGGCGAGCTGACTGTAAGTCTAAATGAAGCAACAAACTTGTGTTACACTTTGAATTTGTTCCGTCACAAAGAAAAAAGAGATGTTCTGCTTAGAGAGAACCATCAAAAAAGACCAGAAAAGTCAGGTTTTTTGCAAATATGTTGAACACATATGTCTTGCAAGGTATCAAACAGCTACATCAAACGCTCTGGGCTTCACATAACCAAATTCTCACAAAAAATCCCACCTCCCCTGGCCGTAAAAGGAGACCCATCATTCACAACACAGCATCCAACCCCTGCCATCCTGTGATTCTGTATGTATACCAAGCGCCCCTCATAGCCAAGGCGCTTACGATTCTGATTTGACAGCAGACAAGGAAAAACAGTCTGGGAACCAAGCTATTTTCCTAATACCCAGCCAGACCCTGGAGGCAGACCAGCATTTCCTGGCTCCTTTCAGACACATGCACATATGCTTCGTTATTTATGCATGGAGAACCGTTGTTGGGGATAGTGAATTTCTACTTGCTTCCAGCATTATCGCCGTATTCTTGGCAGGTATCAAACAAACAGGAGGCAGTCCCTACCTACCGCCCCACCGCGGGTCTTCTAACCTTCACGAAAAGCATTTCAATGCAAATATCCTACAGAAGTTACTGGCAAAGTCACTAGAGTCAAGTTGGAGTTACAGATGAGGGATTCTGAGGGCAGAGACAGCTCTACAAACCACAAACTATACCTAAGCCAGTGGGCCCACCGCAACCTGCAGCTCGCTTGGTATATCCACCACTTAAATTTTTGCTTTACCGGTTTGTATTCCAGCACGTTAGCGATCAATATCACACACTTAACACTTGCGGTATGACTCTGTTCAAGAGCCTTTTATCTCCTGGGTTCACATTAATAGGACCATCATTTCCTCCCTTGGCTTATTTTATGGATGATTCTTGACTTATGAGCTTATTTTATAACTGTAACTAGCTTAGAAGCATTTGCTTTTTGTCTTACAAACTGCAGTGAATCGTGCTGCTTCCCTCTAAAGACTGGAGAGGAATTCTACCGTGTCACTTCAAAGGTTGCTTGAACCAATAAAGAACTTACTTTCTTTTCAGACTGCTTTAAATATCTTACTCTTACACACCGCTATAGTGTTACAAAGATGTTAATCACGACTAACAACAACAAAAAAAAATAAATACAAAAAATTGCTTCTTCCAGCGTGTGTATTTCCAGCCCTCTGGTGGTGGTGATCAGTAAGGAGAACACTCACTTGAAGCAGTTAAATTCTTTAGAAAGAGAAGCATGGGTCTGTGTTGCCTACAACACAATTATTTTGGAGCAGAGGAAAGACCAGGATGAGTGTCCATCTGTGTTGTCAGGAAAGGATCTGATTTCATGAAGTTAAGTGGACAACACCACAATCACTGAATTGCAACCAATTCATATTCAGTGCTTCAAGAAGCGGATCCAATACTGAAAAAAATCTATCCCAGTACAAAAACCAAACCAGTTCTTGTACAACAAAACACAATACAGTTTTCTGCAGCGGGATTATCCAGGCTGCAGATTATCTATGCTGCAATTTTAGAAAAACTTCAGCCTGACAATATTATTCGCTGGGATATTGCAGCGGAGGTGTCGTTCTGTAGTAGCTCCAGGGAGAACCTGACTTTGTAAGCAGAAAAGCATCGCCTTTTCGGGTCAGCTCAAACGTCTCTGCACCTGCTCACCCCATATCTGGGACACAGGCTCCATCCAAATTTTTTTGCACGTCCAAATCAAGAAGGGCAGCGCAGAACTGGAGCTAATTAGACTAGTTTGAGTTTCTCTCACAGTTTGCTGTCTCTAAACAGCTCTCCTCTCATATCCAGACTATTCCAGAAGTCCGGCATGTACGCTTGACCGCATTAGTGTTATATAGTGTGAACATGTTACACAGGGAAGCAGCTGGGCAAAGCAGGTAAGCAACATCACAGATAAAAACACTTGGACGGCTTGGAAGCAAAGAAGGCACAATATATCTACTTACAAGGGAGAATCATAACCTTTTCAGACATTTTTAGTAGCTCTACTTACCGCTTCATAGCACCAATCTTTGAGGATATCAAGCTCTCCAGATATCATAGCCTAAAAGAGAAAAACCAAATAAAACACAAACATTTTAAAACTCCTATATCAAAGAGTTGAAATTACCAGCACTTTCGGCAGCAAACAACTTTAAATCCTACACCTTGTAAAACTCTGAAGAAGGACAGGAGCTTCAAAGAGGAACAGCAATAAGAACTTCTATAAACACACACGTACTGAGTCAGAAGTACCGAAACCTTTTGATAATTAAGACAAAAAACTATCTTACACCTTCCTGTCCAAAAAGTCAGCAGAATGCACGCTACCCAGAAATCCTGGGAGGTGGGCTCTGACAGAAGCCGGAGTACAAGCCAGCAGCCAATCCACAGTTTTCAAGCCTGTGAAAAATTCAGGGCACAGAACGAACAGAAGAATCCTGCTGCAACTCACAAAAAGGTTTATCTTTAAACCACAGTGTAATAAACACCTGGAATTCATAACAAGACAGATGCTGGGAATTCAGCAGATTTCAAAATAAAGTTAGTTATACATGGCAGGGCATTTTTCAACATAACGCCTACAAATCACACTCGACTGCATCTGTAAGCTGGCTGCCTACCGCATGAAAAAACCTCTCCTGTGAAAAATTCATTCTCCAAGAGTCAAGAGCCCATTTTTTGCAGCTTGCTTTACTGCCACGGCACCGTTAGGGAATGCAGATTCACTGTGACAGGTCTGTCCTATTTCACTGTCGACATTATGGTTCCCGTCACACATCGGATACACAAGTCAGTCACTACAAAGACAGCAGTGACAAAACCTAACTCTGCATCAGTTTGGATGTTTGTAAGCATCAGATTATTTTTTATTCAGCCTATAAGGCTACCTCATGACTAGGAGTATGATAAATAATTCTACATGTGTATTAGATGTATCAATTTGAGACATGATCACTCACTGCACTGTTCTCTAGGATGAGAAAAATAACACTTTGCTCTCTCTTAGCATTTATTTCTCTCTCCAAGCCTCATTTTTTCCAGTCTCATACAAATCTCTCAAAAGAATTTCTGCTGTAGTTTTTCAAATCCCCTACTTTCCCTCTGTCTTTTCTGACATACTGTTACAGTGAGGGGAACTATATCCGTTTATACTTGAAGTCACATC